ATGAGATATCATTATACAACTATTAGGACAGCTAAAATAAAAAAAAAAAATTGTGACTATCCCAAAGACTAGCAAGGATGCAGAGAACTCACAAATTGCTGGTGGGAATGTAAAATGGTACAGCCAATCTGGAAAATATTTGGCAGTTACTTAAGAACTAAACATACACTTACAGAACAACCCAGTGAACACACTCCTGGGCATTTACCCCAGAGAAATGAGACTTATGTCCATATAAAAACCAGAACATGAATGCTTATTGCAGTTTTATTTGTAATAGCTGAAACCAGAAAACAACCAAAATATTCTTTAATGTGTGAATGGCTAAACAAATTGCGATGCACCCATACCATGAAATACTAATCATCAATAAAAAGGAATAAGCTACTGATACACACAACTTGGATGGATCTCAAGGGTATTATGTTGAGTGAAAAAAGCCAATCTCAAAAGGTCACATACTGTATGATTCCATTTATATAACATTCTTGCAATGACAAAATTATAGAGATGGAGAACAAATTAGTGGTTGTCAGGGGTTAGGAACGATGAGTGGGAGGAGGTGGGTATGATTATGAAGGGTTAGCATGAGGGATATCTCCATGGTAATGGAATAATTCTGTACCTTGATTGTGATGGTGGTTACAAAAATTTATACATGAAACAAAATGATGTAGAACTATATATATATACACATCGTACCAATGTTAGTTTCCTGGTTGTGATAATGTACTATATTTATACAGCAAGTAACCATTAGGGGAAATTGAGTGAAGAGTTCATAGAACCTCTCTGTATTACTTTTGCAACTTCCTGTGAATCTATAATAATATAAAAATAGTTTTTAAAATGAAAGAAGTAAAACACTATACTGTATGAGTTTATATTGATACTGTCAATTCAAATTTAGGATTACAGAATAAATTTCACTGATCTGACATCTATTTCTCCTTTCCCTCATACTGAGTATCCTGATTCTCAATGACACTGTCATAAGTTACCCATTTTCTTTCTTTTTTTTCCCCACAACATATGTCCAACAGACTCAGGATAATAATACCAATATCTCCGCCAACAGATGATTATTTAAAACAACTGAAGAATTATCTTGCAGTTATTTCTGTCTTTAGGGAATATCCTACTAGAGATGCACAGGTAATTTAAAATTGCTTAGAATATTTTTTCTTTGGAGGCTATGCTACCAATGACTATACATTTTTGTTCATATGTTTAATTTTGCTTTTGCTTTTAAGAATTGCTTTCTAAATATTCAATTTTGTCCTACAATTATCTAAGTTTTCACATGGTTTTAAGTGAAATCCTCAAGATTAGATATATTCAAAGAGGCCTACATTTTATCCCCCTTATCCACATCTATCTATAGGCAATCATGTAAAAATCATATGGTTTATTCTTCTATTTAAACATATTCATCTTCAAGAATGGCTTAACACATGCAAATCAATAAATGTGATTCACCATATAAGCAGAATTAAAAACAAAAACCATATGATTATCTCAATAGATGTAGAAAAAGCTTCTGATAAAATCCAACATCCCTTCATGATAAAAACCCTCAACAAGCTAGGCATTGAAGGAATGTATCTCAAAATAATCAGAGCTATCTAAGGCAAATCAATAACATCATGCTGAATGGGCAAAGCTGGAAGCATTCACTCTAAGAACTGGAAAAAGACAAGGATGTCTACTCTTACCACTTCTATTCCACATGCTACTGGAAGTCCTAGCCAGAGCAATCAGGCAAGAGAAATAAATAAAAGGCATCAAAATAGGAAAGGACAAAGTCAAATTATTCCTTTTCACTGATGATATGATTGTATATTGAGAAAACTCTAAAGATTCCACCAAAAGATTCCTAGGCCCCATAAATGACTTCAGCAAAATCTGTAGATAAAAAATCAACATACAAAAATCAGTTGTGTTTCTATACACCAAAAATGTTCAAGATGAGAACCAGATCAATAATGCAATCCCATTTACAATAGCCACACACAAAAAATACCTTGGAATACATCTAACCAAGGAGGTGAAAGATCTCTATAAGGAGAATTACAAATTACTGCTGAAAGAAGTCATAGACAACACAAACAAGTGAAAAAGAATTTTGTGGTCATGGATAGGAAGAATTAATATTGTTAAAATGTTTATAGTGCCCAATGCAGTTTACAGATTCAATGCTATTCTTATAAAATTACCAATGTTATTTTTTACAGAGTTAGGAAAAAACCATTCTAAAATTCACATGGAACCAAAAAAGAGTCCAAATAGACAAGGCAATCCTAAACAAAAAGAATAAAGCCATAGGTATCACAACTTCATCACATTACCAACTTCAAACTATACTACCAGGCTACAGTAACCAAAACAGCATGGTACTGGTACAAAAATAGACACATAGATCAATAGAACAAGATGCAGACCCTTGAAATCAAGCTGCGTAACTACAACCAACTGATCTTTGACAAGTCTGCAAAAATAAACAATGGGGTTTTATTCAATAAACAATATGGGAGGAAACTGGCTAACCATATGCAGAAGAATGAAACTGGACCCTTACCTCTCACCATACAAAAATTAACTCAAGACAGATTAAAGACTTAAATGTAATCCTCAAACTATAAAAATCCTAGAGGAAAACCTAGAAAATACTCGTCTAGACATTGACCTAGTCAAAGAATTTATGACTAAGTCCTCAAAAGCAACTGTAACAAAAAGAAAAAATTGATGAGACCAGATGAAACTGAAGAGCTTCTGCCCAGCAAAATAAACTATCAACAGAGTAAACAGATAACCTACAGAATGGGAGAAAATATTTGCAAATTATGCATTTAACCAAGGACTCATGTCCAGAATCTATAATGAACTTAAATCAAGAACAAAACAACCCATTAAAAAGTGGACAAAAGACATGAACAAACCTTTATCAAAAGAAGACACAGAAGCAGGCAATAAACATATGAAAAGATGCTCACCATCACTAATCATCGGGGAAAGGCAAATCAAAAGCACTGTGAAACACCAACCGTCTCGTGCCAGTTAAATGGCTATTATTAGAAAGTCAGAAAATAACAGATGTTGGCAAGGTTGAAGAGAAAAGGGAACACATATACACTGTTGGTGGGAATGCAAGTAAGTCCAGCTACTGTGGAAAGCAGTTTGGAGATTTCCCAAAAAACTGACAATAGAATTATCATTTGACCCATCAACCTCATTACTGTGTATATATTGAAAAGAAAATAAATAAAGACACCTGTACTTGTATGTTTATTGCAGCACTGTTCCCAATAGCAAAGACACAGAGTCAACCTAGGGGCCCATTGATGGTGGATCTGATAAAGAAAATGTGATACATGCACAGCATGGAATACTTCCCAGTTATAAGAAAGAAGGAAATCATGTTCTTTGCAGCAACGTGGATGCAACTGAAGGCCATTATCCTAAGCAAATTAATACAGGAACAAAAACAAATACTACACGTTCTCACTTATAAGTGGAGGCTAAACACATGTACATAAAGATGGGAATAATAAACACTGGAGATTCCAAAAGAGGAAAGGGATGGGGCAAGGGTCACAAAACTACCTGTTGGGTACTATGTTTACTACTTGGGCAATGGGGTTGTTAGAAGCTCAAATCTCAGCATCTCTCAATATAACCATGTAACAAACCTACACATTGACCCCTTGAATCTAAAATAAATTTAAAATGCATCTTATTTACATGAATATGCATCTACACACATATCTTTACCACTTTTTAGGAATGACACAAACTTGAGTACATTGAAATTGCTATTCAAATATTTATCCTGGCAGTGGCTTCTTTATGACCTGCAGAACTATTCCTTGTTGACAGCTGCATAGCACTCCACTGTTTGGATGTACCAAATGTACTCAGTAAGTTTCGTGCTGATAATTGTTTGCACTGTTTCCGGTTACCTGCTGCTGTGGGTAGCATGGCAGCAAGTAGTCATTTGCATGTATCTTTTCTTACTTTTGCCAGTGTAGTCTTGGCATAGATACCCAGAAGTGGGATGGCTGGACCAAACAGTAATTTTTATAGATATATGGACTACTTTTGATTTGTCAAAAAGAAAGCCCAGTGACACACGAAGATGGAATGTGGAATTCCACCTTCTGTGGAACTTAACTCTGTGAGGATGACGTGAATTTTGACACCCTTGGTTCTTCTTCAGGGTAGTGGGATGCTCCTATGGTGTGGACCACAGGGTCCCCACTGTGAGATTTGGAAGGTGAGGCTTCTGCCTGCCCCACCCCCAACTCCTGGATAGTTTTGGGACAGTGAGCTGAATCAGGTGAATATCGCTGGTGGTGCCAAGGAAGACCCCAGTCATCCCTAGGACCTCCTTGGCTCTCTGGCCTCCCTGGGAAGTGCCAGCACCACCTCTGTGCTGCTCTTTAACCACCTCGTGATGTAACAGGACTCCTCTGAGTCCCAGGCATCGCACTCCTTCAATCTACCCACCCTAGGAAATGAATGCTTAGGAAAGTTAAAGTGAAAAGCAAAGGCTTCTGTTTTAAATCATTACTATCAAAACACAATTTGACATTTGAAGCTATTTACGAGGAATACCTTAATAGCAACACAAGAGCAACTCTGCTTTGTCTACTTCCAAGTCTGTTCTCTGCAACAATTAAACGGAGGCAGCTTGAGGTTGTGGAGGAAACCCTGGTGTCTGGGACAAACCCTGAAGGGCTTTGGGAAAATCGCCCAGCCTATCTGGGCTTCAGATTTCTTATCTGTAAAATGAGGACTTGGGGCCAGCTCCAAATTCTGTAATATTAGGATTTAGTAATGTTGGAATATGGACTGTAGAAATGGACCAGGACAAAGTGGGTGGAAGGGATGTACATTAAACATTCTGTAAAAAGAATTAGGGCTAAAGGAAGGAAGATTTGGTGCTGTCAGAGAATCTTCAATTAAGGATTGCTTCCACTTCTGCTTATTTTCTTCTCCAGTGCCTTGCAGTCCTCTCCAGCCAATTTACAAAATTCCCCTCTGTGCTCTGGGGAGGATTATATTTCAATAGGAGCAACATTTGATTATCTGGAAGAGCTTAGCAGGGACCAGTGGCCGCCAATGGTGACAGTGACTAATGGAAGAGCTGGGCCAGCAGCATGTGATCGCAGATGAGTATTGTGTGTCTGTGCGTCCACCCTTAGTTAAATCGAAGGGTCCAATTTGGTCTGCTGAACACACATATTTGTGGAGGCTTATTGAACACAAAATTAATTTAGGAGACATTAATCTAAAGAGAATTCGACTGACAGCAACAGCAATGGTGTTTAATGGAAGACAAAGCCAAAAAAAAAAAAAAAAAAAAAAAAAAGAGCCAGGCCTGCCACAGTCTTTTCCTTTGTTGAGAAAATATAAGTATCCCCAGGGCTTTAATAGACTCTAATCCTTTTTCTTGAACAATTTGGCCTCTGCATAGATCAAGTGAGCAAAACAGAGTCCTGAAGAACGCACGATCTCAGGGAGAAATGTCCTGAAGTCATGCTGGTTTCGGAATGAGAAGCCGTCTGCCCACCAGCGCACCTTCTCTTTCCACTTCTGCTTTCTCGTATGTACGTTTGGGTTGGGATTTATTTACATTAATCTATGACCTTGCTTCTCACAGTATGGTTCACAGACCAATACCACCAGCATCAGCTGGGAGCCTATTAGAAACGCAGACTCTCGGGCCCTGCCCCAGATCTGCTGAATTAGAATCTACATTTTAACCTGATTCCCAGGTGATTTGTAAGCATGTTAGAGTTTGAGAAGACCTGTTTCCTAAAGTTTTCTCCTTGAAGGGTAATTGGAACAATCTAACTTCTGATAACGCAGAGAACCGAGAACTGTCTGGTAATTGTCCCATCTACATTGTATGACTAACTGAAGATTTGTGCAGAAAGCTTGGGGAAAAAAAATGGAGAAGTACAAAGGAGAACACAATCACCTGTCATCTTGTGAAAGTAATTTTAGGGTGTGTCCCTCCTGTCTTTTTCTATGTGTGCTTGTGTATTCTTTTTAAATACAAAATTCATTCATTCATTCATTCATTCATGCAATAAACACTGAGCACTTAGTAGGTACTGGGTGCTGGGGATCCCGTAATGAACAAGACTGGTAAAGTTCATGGGGAAACCAATATGCAACCAGGCGAGACATAACCAGTTCTGTACCATGGACTGGCCCCACCGTTTCCCCTTCCCAGTCTCTGTCTTCTTGACCCCTATATCCTTGTATCTGACCCATAGTTCCAGAGAGATAGTAATGATTTCCCCTAAGTGGCCCTTACTGACCTTCCCCTCATTGACTTTCCTTTGAATCCTTCTTTTTTTAGGTCTTGTTATGGCTGAATCTGGAAACCAACATTCTCAGCAAACTGACACAAGAACAGAAAACCAAACACTGCATGTTCTCACTCATAGGTGGGTGTTGAACAATTAAAACACATGGGCACAGGAGGGGAACATTACACACTGGGGTCTGTTGGGGGGTGGGGGACCAGGGGAGGGACAGCGGGGGCAGGGAGGTTGGGGAGAGATAACACTGGGAGAAGTGCCTGATGTAGGTGACGAGGGGATGGACACAGCAAACCACCATGGCATGTGTGTACCTAGGCCACAATCCTGCAAGATCTGCACATGTGCCCCAGAACTGAAAGTACAATAAAAATGAAATGAAATTAGCTAACAGTCATGGAGTGCTTACAAAGTGCCAGGTGCTGCTCTAAGTGCTTTGCACGTATCATCGCCAGTCCTTGCAAGAATCCTATCAGGGACTGTTATTATCATTCGTATTTTACAGTTTAAGAAACTATCCAAGGACACCCAGATAGTAACTGCCAGTCAGTCTCCAGGGCCAGAGCTAGTATTAGGCTGATACAAGGATTCATTCTAGAGTGTTGATGAATAATAACTAATATGTATCTCATCTGGGCATTTAGTCGGCAACTGCCAGAGACCAGACAATTTACTTGAATTCAAAAGAATGAACCTCTGATTCTGATATTTTAGGAAGCGAGGATGGTCACTGAAGTAAAAAGATGTTAGAAGATGATCTTGCATGTATGCCCTATTTCATATCATTTCGTTTTCAGTGTTGCTTTTCTTGTTCAGTGTTTTCTTGTTGCTTTCTTTTGGCTATATGGGAACCTCCAAAAATAAGCTCTTTTATAAATTTAGCCTCTTGCAACATTGTCTATTTTAAATTCCCAGCCATCCAAATGTTTGCCCAGAAGCCTCCTACTCATCCTTCAAGACTCAGCCCAAAAGCTTCCTGCTCCTCAAAGTCTTTCCTGCAACATCCAGGCCGAGTAGACCTTTCCCTCTCTGTTGTGACATCTCTTACACGTCCTCGTGCTAGGACTCTGAGTGCGTGACTCGGTCTTTCCAAGTCTCAGACCCCTCATCTGTAAGATGGTGATAATCACAGAGTGTACGTGATAGGACCGTGGTGAAGTAATACAGAAGATGTGCTTGGCTCCACAAGTGACATGCAGAAAACACTCAATACTGGCATCTCTCTTGTCTCCATCTCACAGTGCAGAATTTTATCTTATTTGCATGTCTATCTTCCGTCTTTGACTGTTTCAGAAACGAGAACTATGCCTTACTCATTTTTATATCTCTAGGAACTAGTAAAGACCCAGAATTGGCATTCCATAAATAAAAGCAATAGCTGGAAAAAAAAATCAGGCAAATAATGTTAGTAGGCAAGAAATTATATGTTATTAGGAAAGAAATGAAGACAAGCATTTTATTTATGATGACATCTAATGTTCTCGGGCACAGAGGTCGAAGAGGACACTGTGTACAGAGGGTGTGAGTAAATATTTTACATGTTTCTCAAAGTTTGACTTAAAAATCCTGATAAAGTACCTCCACTGATCTTGCCTGTCTCCTCATATTTCTGGCCGTGGTGAGTGGTCTGGTGTATTAGTCAGTGTCAGTCTTTGTAATTATAGGTTTAAAGAGGCTCCGTCATTAGTTTAGGAGTGATTTAAGCTGATCAGTGAATTGGATAATACCTAAGAAAGAAAGTTAAAAGGATCCAGTACCAACTGAGAGGAGAAGAAAAAAGCTTCAGAGCAAATCGATATTACTAAGATGACGAAAAATTATGTGTGTGTGTGTGTGTCTGTGTGTGTGTGTGTGTGTGTGTGTGAGAGAGAGAGAGAGAGAGAGAACACACACAGTAGTTTTACACATCCTAAATTACATTTGCATTGATTTGGGTGTAGAGCCCCCTCAATTCCTTACCATAGACAAAGTGAGGGGGCTCTGGTAGTTTAGGGCTCTAGATTTGCCAAAAGGGCTTTTTAACTGATATAAGGAATTTACATTTAAATAAAGAAGGCTCTTTTGAGACCGTCTTGAACTACGTTACCTTCTTCTATGTTATAGAGAAAGGCTTAGCGGTAGCCGCTACCTAAATCTATTTTTTAAATTTTTTGATTAAAAAAAAATCCTGGTTAATGAATTTCTTTAGGAATTTTATGCAATTTTATGAACAGAAAACAACTACAAACAAATTCCACAAATTTCCTAGGTTATTATTAGCAAAGGAAGACTATTATTAGCAAGCAAAGACTAACAATGGCTTGGAACAATTTTAGACCCCTTAAGATGAAACAATATCAATAGTTGCGATAATCATCTTAAGATTGAATTTCTCCAAAAGGCTCAAGAATAATTATCTCCCAGCTTCTGATTGAGCTCTTTGGCCTCCTCTGACTGACAGCAGAGCTTGAAATGGACAAGGTTCCCTCCAGATGGCCCTTTTGACATAGCATCTGCAGCCTCTGAAAGTTGGGGTCATGCCCATTCCCCCAAATTTTGTTACAAAAGGGAGTGTTCTTGGCTTGCAGCTAAACTGCATGCTTAAGCTGTTTCTTTTGAATTTGTTTTTCCTCTCAGTACAACGTTAATTTCCTTTGCTGGCCACAGTCCTGAGTGACCGATGGGACATGAGAGATGTTTCGTAACTGCTGCCTGAGCTAGATCCAACATGGCAGTCTCATTTTCCAGTCAGTGTAACCAAGGTCCTCCCAACACTCTCAGCCACTGTCCGGTGTTCCTAGATGTCCTGAAGGGGCATGGGGAGAGGGCTGCCGGCCAAGTTAACTGCAGAAAAGGCGTAGGCTCCGGATCATTGCTCTGTCAGAAGGCTGCCATTCCAGGTCTCATGCTTGGGCTTTTGGTAGAGGAAGAGAACAAAACTCATTCAGTTATTAATTCATGCTTCGAAGCAGTGAGCACTGCATTCCTTCTTCATTCTAGGCTTTGACCCAGTTGCTGGAGACATAAATGTACACAAAGACACAGCCCCTTCTGAGAATGAGCAAAAGGGCCAAGAGTGACAAACAGACGTGTAAAAAAGTAACTGTGGCCTAGTGTGTGGCAGTAAGAGAGATAAGTGACGGGGAGCTCCCCAGACTCTTATCGAAGGGAGTTGTTGATTATCACTCCAGCCATTAACTGAACCCTAGAACTGGCTTTTCTGGGAAGTGATTTCCTTTTCTTATGGCAGAACATCAAAGGGGCATCTACAGCCATGTCAGCTGCCTCTTAGGGTTGTGGGATGGCAGCTCGGGGGACCGATTGCAGGGGGTTACTTTACTCCCTAGGACAAGACTGTTGAGGAGAGAGGGCAAAGCAGCCTGGGGTGGAGCCTGGAATTTCACCCCTCCTTTGCTCTCCCTGCTCTCTGGCTTTAGGAACCCTCTCTCCGGTTACGTAAAATCGGCATAATTTGCACAAATGTTTCCAAATGCCTTCTAAACATCTAATGAAAGCCTGGCAGGCCCAGGCCTCAGCTCTCCCCTCGCCCTCCAGCCCTCCTGCATTCTTGGATCAATTAAAGACAGTTCCACCAACTCCATTTCCCACATCGAGAACTTAAATGTTGTTCTGGACCATTCCTTCTTTTTCATCTGTCCCTTTTGATTTGATGACAAAGGCTGTGATTCCATCTTCTCAACTTCTCTCAGATCCATGTGTTTCTTTCTCCACCAGTCACTGATGCTTCAGGTCCTTCCGCCTGGTCGCCTCATTGTCACAATAGCCTCATCATCAGTGTCTGACTCTTGTTTTACTCTCTGTGTACTCCCTCTCCCCAAGTCTTCCTCTACCCGTCTACCAGAATGAGCTTTCAAAAAATGGTTTTGATATTTGTCAAAGTACTATGTAGAGTTAAAAATACCAAATACAAGTCTATAGTCACTGGTCTCTATTTTTTTTAAATCAAAAAAGCTTTGGAAACGAATATTTTGATACTTCTGGCACCAAAGCTCATTCTGGTGGCAAAACCTGACCTAAATTTAGTCTCATTGCAAAAATATTGTGTTGATTATGGCATGCTTCTCCACACCTTGATGGGAATAAGTATGATAAGTATGTGCGTGATATTCCCTCTTAGAAATCAGAAAGTGTCAGAACTCTGAACCGCATCTGGCTCAATGGATTCAAGACTGTGGATTGTAGGTGTGTATTGTGAATACTCAGCCCTCATTCCACTCCCCAGAGGCAGCTCTTCAAACCCTTTTACCTTTTAAAAATTAGATTTCTTTCTTTATTTCAAATAGCATGCTTAGTTTTATATCTTGATTTATAATTTTAGACATTCTAGTGTGTTGACTTCCTATTATAATTCATGACGATTTGATCGTCTCACATCTCTCTCAACTGTATTCGTTTGCTGCAGATGCCATAACTGAGTACCGCAGACTACGTGGCTTAAGCAACGGAAGTTTCTTTCCATCCGAGGTCGATGTCTTAGCAGGGATGCTTTCGTTCTGAGGCCTGTCTCCTTGGTTTGTAGATGGCCATCTTCTTTCCATGTCTAAATGTGGTTTTTCCCTCTATGTGTCTTTGTCCTAATCTCCTCTTTTTTTTTTTTTTTTTTTTTTTGAGATGGAGTTTTGCTGTTATTACCCAGGCCGGAGTGCAATGGCACAATCTCAGCTCACCGGAACCTCTGCCTCCTGGGTTCAGGCAATTTTCCTGCCTCAGCCTCCTGAGTAGCTGGGATTACAGTCACGCGCCACCATGCCCAGCTAATTTTTTGTATTTTTAGTAGAGATGGGGTTTCACCATGTTGACCAGGATGGTCTCGATCTCTTGACCTAGTGATCCACCCGCCTTGGCCTCCCAAAGTGCTCTTGTTACCCAGGCTGGAGTGCAATGGTGTGATCTCTGCTCACTGCAACCTCTACCTCCTGGGTTCAGGCAATTCTCCTGCCTCAGCCTCCCGAGTAGCTGGGATTACAGGCATGGGCCACCATGCCCAGCTAATTTTTTGTATTTTTAGTAGAGACGGGGTTTCACCATGTTGACCAGGATGGTCTGGATCTCTTGACCTCATGATCCACCCGCCTCGGCCTCCCAAAGTGCTGGGATTACAGGCTTGAGCCACCATGCCTGGCCTAATCTCCTCTTTTCCTAAGGACAAGAGTCACTGGATGAGGACCTACCATTATGACCTCATTCAACCTTAATTATTCATACTTCCTTAAAAACCCTATCTCCAAGTAGCCACGTTCTGAGGTTCTTAGGGTTGGAAACCCTAAGAACATATGAATTTCGGACACAATTCAGCCCCTGATAGCAACTGCACTTTCCCCTATTTGGTTTATGTGTTTATACAATTTTGATTTATTCAATAGTCAAAGTTTATATTATTAGTGGTACAAACATTGTTCATTGCAGAATACAGCACGCTATTATATTTCTTTCTTATTTTTTCCCTAGAGTTAACAATTGTTCCTTTTTCCATTTGGTAGCCTTCTGTGTGCATATGTTTAATTTTTTTCTTAAATGCTTCATTCGATCTGTCAGTCATTAGAGGCATAGGAAGAGCTTCTGGTTCTATGGGCATGTTCCTCCTGAAACGGTCGCTCTCTGCAGCTGCTGCACAACTGGTGTCCCTTTTTCGGATCCGCTCTTTCTTGGGTTCCACGTTTTCCTTTTTCTTCACTTTTTACCTCATTTTTACCATTAATGCAAGGAACCTAATAACTTATACCTGTGCCTTTTCTAAGAAAGCTCCCACAAAAAGCAAATTTGAGGGAGCTTTCTTAGAAAAGGCATGGAATATAAGTTATCAGGTTCTTTGCATTAATGAAAATTATTTTATATTCACACATGATTGCCCAGGCATAGACTTGCAGATTGAGAATAATTTCTCCTCAGAAGTTTTCAGCGCAGTCCTCCTATGTCTTCTATGTTTCACTGTGGCCTTTGCAAACACCTGTTTCTATTCCCTCTGGATGCTTTGGAATCTTCACTTAGTCCTTGAGACGCTGACATTTTACAATAACAGCCCTTGCATTCATCATGGTAGGTTGTTGGTGGACCTTGCGGGTTGTTTGCCCATTTTTCAGTTCTGGTTTTTTCTTTATTTCTTTGACAATTTCCATTTTCTGTTTTCACTTTCCGTAACTCCTACTATTCAAATGTTGCACCTTCTGGTATGATTCTTCAACTTTCTTTCCTCTTTTCTGTCTCCGTTTTTGTGTTCTGCCTTTGGAGAGATTTTTAAATGCATGTTGCTTAATTCCCCCCAAATACGTCTGTTTCTTCTAAGCACCTGCTTTCCTTTGGTTTTGTTCTTTCTCATCTTGTAGGATTTTGTCAATATTTCTTGATCTATGGGGGATGAGCATATATTTAGGAGTAAGACACCCAAGGGATGAAATAACTGATTGAATGTTCTGGTAAGATAGAGAGGAACCCAAAAATGTCAGTATCTAGGAATCTTTTCCTTCGAGGCATTCAGTTTCTCAAAGGTAGTATCCATCTCTTGCCTGGGGTTTATAAATGAATAATTAGGGAAGAGTGTCAACGTGTGCCGGGTTGAGGGGGACTGGGAATGGGAAATCGTTTTTCAGAAGATAGGTTTTTGGTTTTGTTTTTTGACTTACCCACCTGTTCGTAACCATGTATCACATTTCTAAGCCTCCTCCCTTCTTG